CCTCGGCACGACATCCTTCTTCCAGCACCTCCCGTCTGCAGCCCCGCGGCCGCGGCGGCCCCGGCACCTCCCGCTCCCTCCTCTTCGCCTTCGGTTCCTTTGCCCTCGCGGTTCCCACCAGGAAAAGGGGCCTCGGCCCTGGGGCCGTGCTGCGGTTGGGTGTCCCCTCGGCACCTGCCGTGCCCCCGTGCTGGCTCTGCGGGCTCTCCCGGCTTTGGATTCCCCCGCAGCCTCTCGGGGGTGGCTGTCCCTCCTCCTCGGCTACCTCAGAGGCCTGGAGTCCCTGGGAGGGGCCCCATCCTGGCCTCAGCAGCAGCGAGAGCCGTGGCCTGGGGGGGCAGGCAGAATTCCCGGCCTTTGGGATCATCCCATCGCTTCCAGCCTGGCCCCGGGGGGGCTCCGGGCAGCGTTTTCCCTTGCCAAAACACCCCCGTCAGCAGCCGGGGGAGCTGGGCTGCCCCTCGCCTCCCCCAGCACGAGTTTGGGGTGTCCCCCGCCGTCCTCCCCCGTCGCATTCCCGGGATTTGGGGAGGGGGTGTCAGTATTACACGGCAGCGGCTTTCCCGGGGGCAGGGCTGGGGGGGCTCCTGGTGCTGTTCCCCCCTCCCAAAAAACCCGGGACTGTTTATGGAGCGTGGAGCCTCATAGACGTGTTTGTACACTACAAATTCTGCAGCAGAATATTTTTTAAAACATTCGCTGGTTTTGGTTTTTGGTTTTGTTTTGGTTGGTTTTTTTTCTTCTGTTTGTTTGGTTTTTTTGTAAGCTCTATTTTTGTATATTTAATTGCTATTTGAAAATTCTAATAATGCGTCTTTTTTGCTAATCACACTCTTCTTAAGGAAAAGCCAGGAAAGAAAAAAAAAAAAAAAACAACAAACAACCAAGAGTTTGCATGTGATTTGACTTGAAATGTAAATAAAAGCAGGTTTTGGAAGTGGGGGTGTGTTTGCAGGGGGCTCTGTCCCCCCGTCCCTTGTTCCCTGTCCCCCTGGGGTGTCCCCAGCAGGGGAGGGACCGCAGGGCTGGAAATGGGGCGGGTTTGGGTTCTGTTGTCAATGTCCCCTTGTCCTAGAGCAGAGCCGATGGGGACAGCAGCCCATGAGCGCAGGCTGGCTGTGGAGCACCCCAAAACTCCCAGCTAAGAGGGGTTTTGTAGGATCCAGGCAGGGGTGAGCATCCCTGCTTAGGGAGAGGATATTCCTGGACCAACCTTCCCAGCCCTAACCCCGGCCCAAGCCCCTAACGCCGACCTCCCGCAGGCTCGGGAGGGGTTCAGCTCAGCGCTGTGGGATCCACTGCTCCTGGTCCTCAGGGTTTGGCCAGGCGGGTGAGGAGATGCCCTCGGATTGGGGGCGCTGAGCCGGGGTCACCCCAGCGGGTGGAGGAGCCTGAAGGGGACGCGGGACCCCCCTGTCCCGTCCCGCTGTCCCCGAGCCCAGCCCGGCGCGGGGCTGCTGCCCTCTAGTGCCGGATCCCTCCTGGCCATCACCGAAACCACGGCATCCCTGGGATGAGCAGGAGCTTTATAACCCATCCCCTTCACCCCCTGCCATGGCAGGGACACCTCCCACTGGCCCAGGTGGCTCCAAGCCCCGTCCAACCTGTCCCTGGACACTTGCAGGGATCCAGGGGCAGCCACAGCTTCTCTGGGCACCCTGTGCCAGGGCTTCACACCCTCACAGAGAACAATTCCTGCCCAATATCCCGTCCAGTCATTCCCTCAATGTTCTGTTCACCTCCAGCAGAAGGATCCACAGGGACTCAGCACCTGGCTGCCCTTACAGACATTTTTGGGATGAGAGCTCGCTGGGTGACTTCCCACTGCTGGGCCAAAGTCTGGATCTCCCACCGAGCTGCACAAAACAGTTATTTTTGGTGCTTCCACCCCACAGCTCCTGCTCAGGATTGATGCTGTACCTTCCCCACCGATCCCATTCATAGCAGTGGTCAGCAATGAAGTTTTTCATCAAAGCCAAAAACGCTGCTGTTTCCCCCAATTAATGCTCTTAAAAAAAAATTTCCCTCCCTCCTGTAAAATGTTTGGAGATAAAACTGATTCCCAGAGCCTGCAACAGAGGGAGAAACAATTGAGGACTGCCAACAATTATTTTCAACAAGCTAAAAACCAAGTGGGGTCAACCCAAATTTCCCCAGCACATTCCTGCTCATTCCCACCAACGTCCGTCCCGCTGCGCTGGAGCTCCAAGAACGAGACAAAAAGCAAACAAAGGGTTTGAAGCGTATAAAAAATAACTGTGATATTTTATAAGAAGAAAAAAAAAAAACAAGCAGTTTACAAAAAAAGTATAGACAACAAGCCAGGAGATTTGGTGCTGGGATTAGACCGTGCTGGATCGACTTGAAAATCCAGAGAAAAAGGAGTTACACACGCTCGTGGATGGAGTGAGGAAGTGGAAACTCGCAGGATGCTGTGCCCAGGAACAGCAGTGCCTCGGGGCAGGGACTCTGGTGGATCAGGCTGTGGGATTACTGCTGGGAATTCCCAGCCCTGCAGGGATGTCCCAGCTTTCCACAGCAGAACCATGGCAAGGTGGCTTCTGCTCCCAAGGCTGCTGTGCTTAATAAAAGCCAGGCTTTTTCCTGCTTTTCCACAGGATTCTCACACCCTCTCCAGCCCAACCTACCACTGACTTATTACATCGAGGAGCCACACAGGTCCCAGGCACACAGACATTCCAAAAAACCAACATTTCTGTGCCTTTTCCATGAGTTTTGGCCGTGAGGGTGGGTGAAAGGCCAGCCAGGTGTGTTAGATTTTAGGTGGTACAGCAGGAGCTGAGTCTAGAAAGCCTTCAGTCAGCACTCTGGAAATGGAGATGTTTTTAATGAAGAGCTTAGGAACCTTTGTGTGATTTCACAAGGAATGAGGACTAAAGGAGAACCTGAATTCAGGTGATCCCAAACAGGGTGCCCAGAGAAGCTGTGGCTGCCCCTGGATCCCTGCAAGTGCCCAAGGCCCGGCTGGACAGGGCTTGGAGGTGTCCCTGCCATGGCAGGGGTGGAATGAGAGGGGCTTTGAGGTCCCTTCCAACCCAAACCCTTCCCTGAGCTGTACCATCCTGCTCCCAGCCCTCACCTCTCCAGTACCTCTTGTGGAACAGAGCAGGACACAACTGGAACTTGATGCAGCAAAAACAAACATTTTCCTCCCCAGCCAGCACAGATCACCTTCTGTATGACCCCAGTGTTCTTTTCCCTGGTTTTACTGTGATCCAATCCCTGGGCTGTGCCCAGAATCCCACCTCACAGGTTGTCACCAGCTGAAATTCAGAGACAAACACAGATCTACCCAGCAAAGCTGGGTCACACCCTGTGATTTCTCCCTTTTCAGAGGAGGTGCCACACAAGATCTCAGGATACAGCAACAGGCAGGGAAGGGCTCGGGGCTGTCCAGCACTTCCAACCAGGCTCACAAGGGGATCAGAGAGATGGGAATTGGTTTCTCTGGGAAGAAACCAGGACTGGAAGGGTGCATTAGGGTCAGGGTCATTCTGATATCCTGGGATAAACCCTGACACCATGGCCTGATCTGAAGGATCTGAAGAGCTTTCCCTGTGCTCCATGGAGCTGCTTGCTGGGAAGCCAGAGCACTTCCAGAGCTGTGTGTCCATCAGCTCACATCCCGAGGGAAGGTGCAGATACCTCGTTGCTTTTACAGAGCGTTTATTGAGCGTGCAGGATCCACTCCAAACCCCATCCCAAGGGTGCAACTTCCACAGGGGCTCCACAGCAGTATCCTGCTCGCAGGCTGTGTGGCAGCATGCAGAGGGAAAAGGGAGTACAGCATGCATGGCAAGGGGAGAACTCCCCCAAAATGACAGGAGTGTAGCCATTAATAAATGTAACATGGAATATTACAGAGATCCAAGTGTGACTGAAGGAAGTCTCTCTTTGGTGGAGTTTGCTAACAGAGAGAAAACCCCAGACAAACAATGAATATCCTTATTCCATCCTCAAATTTAGATCTCAAGGCTGGAGGCTGACTGACACCCCTGACAGCATCCCCAAGGGTGCTGACGACTGTGCAGGAGTGCTGGAGGCTGAAATGGGACTGACCCTGAGGCACAGATCCGTGCTGTGCTGGACCTGCCGTCCCTAGGACGGAGATAAGGACATGTGGGACAGGGATAAAGCCTGGCTGCCAGCACAGCTGTGTCCCAGTGTGGATCCAGTGGGCCATATGGAGTTAGTTACACACACCAGGGCTGTGCTGATGCTCTTCCCCCTTCCCAGACCATTTTCCAGCACATGGAGAACCTCTGATTACAAACACAGAACTGACCTGGGCACTCAGCACTCCAAGGGATCCCAATGGAAGGAGCAGAGTGCCCCTGCTCTGCTTTGTCACATCATTAAACACAGAGTAAAAAGGGCAATTCCACGTGACTGAAATGCCCCACAGACCTTCCCGAACACCCCCACATCCAGCCAGTGTATTCCAATCACATCCTTTGGAACAAACCTGCACTGTAATCCCAGATGGATTTCAGCTCTTAGAGACCTCCATCCCCACGCTGTCCCCACAGGCCACCCCAGTGGAACAGGCTCAGTGGGGGCTGTCACACAAAACATGGGCTCAGTGACCCCCGAACCATGGGCTCAGTGACCCAGGGAGTGCCCTGAATCCATAGGTCCAACAGAGATCCTGCACGGGGTCAGGCTGAGTCCAGGAGTCCCAGGAGAGCGCCGACAGAGCCAAAGTAACCCTGAGGAGCAGATGGGAACAGGCAGTGAAAATCCACGGGCACACACCTGACACAGGAACAGCATCCTCAGAATCAAGGAATAGCTGGGCTTGGAAGGATCCATAAAGCACATACAGTGCCTCCCCCTAGTTCCCACTATCCCAGGCTGCTCCAAACCCTGTCCAACCTGGCCTTGGACACTTGCAGGGATCCAGGGGCAGCCACAGCTTCTCTGGGAAATCCATTCCAGGGCCTCAATACCCTCAAAGGGAAAAAATTCCTTCCCAATATCCCACCTTCCCTGCTCTCTGGCAGTGGGAAGGCATTCTCCCTTGTCTGTCACTCCAGGCCCTTGGCCCAAGTCTCTCTTGGGAGCTCTACTGGAACTCCTTTAGGCACTGGAAAGTCTCCCTGGAGCCTTCCTTTCTCCAGGCTATTGAATACAGAGTGTAATTTTAACAACATATAAAGGAGAGGGGAAAGATACAACTACAGGGAAGTACATTATAAAACAAAATATATAATAAAATATAGCTGTGGCTGGAGCAGCAACGCCCTGAGCACCTCCTGCACTGTGTGCACCCAACAGCTCCAAATGGCTGTTTCCAGAGCACTCCAAGGACCTGCATTTTGGAAAAAGGAATTTTACCTCATGTTCCAAGAAAAGTGCTTTTAATTGTCCCTTTGACCAGTAGTCCAGGGCATAGGCCAGGAGCCTCATGGAGATGGTGTTGATCCGAAGGAAGTTGCCCACAAACACCACACGGTTGATGTTCTGCAAGTGTTAAGGGGGGAAAAAAGGAATATCATGGATAAATTCTATTTTCTGCTTCCAATGATGAAAACCCCATGTGTGGAAGGGTCTGGAGCCCCAGGAGGGGCTGAGGGAGCTGGGCAAGGAGCTCAGCCTGGAGAAAAGGAGGCTCAGGGGCCAGGCTGAGTCCCCATCCCAGGAGGGATTTAAAAGCCATGTGGATGTGGCACTTGGGGACATGGTCAGTGTTGGCCTTGGCAGTGCTGGGGAATGGTTGGACTGGATGATCTTAAAGGACTTCTCCAACCTAAATGGCTCTGAAACTCTATGAATTAAGTTCCTGCTGAAAGTGCCTGGCAGAATGTGCAGAACACCACACACAATTCCATCACAAAGCAGAACCAGGCCATTTTAAGCCACCCTCTTCCTCAGACTCTCCCAGAAATTCCCAGGCCAAACTACAGCCTCTCTAACCCAGGAATTTGGATAGAACAGCTGATTTTCCCACAAAATCCTTAGACTACCTGGAAACACTGCTCATCAAGTGCCACCTCCCCCTGCTCCCTCCCAGCTCTCGCTTTTGATACATCATGAAATAGCTGAGTGACTCTACTGCTAAACTGGGGAAAAAAAATCTAATTAGGAGCCCATAACCAATACAATTTTTAAAGAAAGAAAAAGATCAACCAAGTAGTGATTATTCTGGATTTAAACCAGACCTCCAGCCTTACTTTTCCATCCCAAAATAGTTCTGATCCAAGCTCTGAAGCTTTCTTGTTCTCCAACATGAAAATAATTCAGTTCCTCCACTTTCTGAGGAATCAGGATCAAATCTTACCTGCTCCTGCACTTGTATCCTTCTATGGATTTTCCTTCCCTCCCCACATTGATTAACACTTCCCCTGAACTACTCAGGATCCTCTTTTCGTTCAGCTGAGCTCCAGAGCAAGGAATTAGCAGATATATTATGAGCAAGACTGTTTAGGACACGTCTTGGCTCATTTTGGCTGCAACAAAGAGAGAGCCAGAGGAGTCAGGAAGATGCTGGATTCCGTGGAAGCAGGCTCAGGATGGAGTGCAGAGCATGTCTCTGCTCTTTCATAGCCCTGTACAATGCTGCTTGACATGAATGCAACAAGGCAGCACTGTAAAGAAGCTGAAAGCACAAAGATGCAGCAACAGCCATGGCAGTGGTGGGGCTTGGCCAAGAAATCCAGAGCAACTCAGAAAAACAATACAGGAGAAGATATCCAGCCTCTAACCCTCTCCCTCCTTTCCTCCTCTCCTACTGTTCCCAGAGCTGTTCCCAAAGAAAGGCACATTCCTCAAGCAGGCAGCAGCACACAGGTGATGTTTTAGGCAGGGAGCAAGGGAAGAGATTCCCAAAATACCTCATTAAGGGCACACATCCGCGCTATGGAGCCGATGTTGTTGGTGATGGTGATTAAAGTGGCCCTGGCCAGGTCCTCCTTGCTGACAGATTCCCTCTTCTCCTTGCTCATCATGTTTCCAAAGCTGTAAAAACAGTCTTGGGGTTAAAGGTCCCATCAGAATTCCAAGACAAGATGGGAACTGCTAATTTAACCCAAGTGATTCATCTTGAAGGACTGATTTCTAACTTTAAAAAGCATTGTTATCCATAACAATAGGAATCTGGATTAGGATCTCTTAGGAATGGTTGATCTCCTAAGGCACCTAAATCCAGTTTTTCACCCTTGCAGGATCTCCAGGGGAAACAAAACAAAAATGAGACCCAGGCAGGGCATTACCTGGATGCCACAGCCCAGCCTGGCAGCCCGAAGCGTTCATAGTCTCCTCCATAGATGTCCCTCACCAGTTTGTCCACCTTGGTGCTGTCCCCGCGGGATGCCATCTCCAGGGCCTCCTCAAACGTGGAGCAGCCTGTCAGAAGGCAGCAGAGGCCAAAGAAGGTTCCCCCTCCAAGGCTGCAAGTAAAGCAAAATGAAAATGAAAGCTCAGATTGTTCAGTTCTGTATCCCAGCTAGCTCAGGTCACCCCATTCCTGACATTTTAGGCAGAACCATCTTGGAAAGGCAGCATTTTCCTTAAAGTCTGTTCCTTCTCTCATAATCTCCAGCCTGTAATGAATCCCTCACAGCCTTCTGCACAGGCCATGTTGTGAAATGAGACCTCAATTTTTTTATGTTTCACTGTCCACTTTCTTCCCAGCATCCAAAGATTATAAAATAAATTAATAATTATAAATTATAATATATATAAATTATAAATTAATTATAAATGTTAGTCCTGAGGGATAACTGGAGTGTCAGGGCAGAGAAATCCAGAATTTGGGGGAAAAACCCTGTCTTCTTCACTTTACAGCACATACATGCCACTAATAATGTCTAGTAAGAATAAGAACTGTACTGAATTTAAAATAATTATTATTATTATTATTATTACTATTACCTTTCAGGGAATCCAGGGAAGCTTAATGCCACAGAGCTCTATGCCTTTGCCAGGACACAAAAGCCACATCTTCAAGATGGGCAGAAACTGGGGAATTACTGCTATGCCATTATCCCTTCCACCAAAATCTGGCAACTTTTGGAAGTCAGGATGGAAATCTCGACTTCTTGGATCAAAGCTAAGAGTTATTAACAATCCCAAACTATGTGATCTCATAAAATAAATAGATAAAGCCCTTGAATTCCTGCAGCAGAGCAACTGAAAAACCAGCTGTGGTGGAGACAGGCTGCAGTAAAGACACCAAACCATGAAATCCAGATCCTCTTTTCCAGGTGGGATCTTTGTTGGCAGGGAGTAACTGCAGTAAGAGCAGGAGCTTAGTCATTCCCTTTACCACCTTTATTGCAGCTTATCCCTGAAAATGCCATTTACAAAGCAGGAATGTGCTCCAGACCCTAAAATCAAACTTCCTTTATGCACCAGCACTCACCTGGTGCCTGTTACCCGTTTATAGTTGTCTTTGGAATAGACAGCCAAAATGCTGACCCCTGAGCCAATGTTCACCAGAAGGAGAGGATAGGGATTCTCCAGGTTGAACGGGAGCTTCTGGCACCTCTCAGCATCCGTGGGGTTCTCAAAATAGTAACACTCTGAGTGTCCATTGAAGCCCACGGAATCGATGTACAGCACTCCTTTAACAAGGCAATCCAGCTCATCGAGCTTACAAAGCTCAAGGTCACCCATCTGGTGGGAAGGAAAAAAGAGGAATGTTGCAGAAGTAGCCAGGGATTTGAAGCATTTATGCTCAGGGCTGGAAAAATGCATTCAGTGCCAGCTATGTCCATGCTCCCTGCAGAGGCTGAGGGAGAACAGGAGAGCACAGGGACTCCTGAGTACCACAGCCCTCAGATGTGGAACCGGGGAGAACAACCTGGACCCACAGATGGACACAGAGAGAATTCCAGCAACTCCCACAGGCCAGATGTAGGCCCTGATGCTGAGGCACTGGTGTGAAAAGCCAGGAGGAGGCACTTACAGCGTTCGACCAAAACATTCCACAAAGCCCATCCAAAGGAACATCAAGAAACAGCAAGGAAGTTATAAAATCATTTTCTCCTCATGTCACTGCCTTGACCACACAAAATTGGGTATTAGGAAAAACTGAACACAAACAGATTTGTTTCCCATCTTAGTTTTAGAATCCCCATCCCTGGAGGGATTTAAAAGCCATGTGGATGTGGCACATGGGGACATGGGTCAGCGGTGGCCTTGGCAGTGCTAGGGGAACAGCTGGATTTGCTGATCTTAGAGGGCTTTTCACCCTTAATGATTCTCTAAAAGCCCCTTTATTTGCATTTTTCCAAGCCCTGACTAAACAAATATTTATCACACTTTTTTCATCATGAACAAGGACCCCACTAGAATGAATCCCATGATGATGTCCAACCCCACCTAGGAACTTCCTGACAGTTACATTTACCACCAGACCCGCCTGAACCTCAGCCAGCTCATTCACACAGGTGTTAGAAATGAAACCAGGCGAGCAAAGGAAGAAAATAAAGCAATGAGTAAAAAATAAACAAAAAACAAAAATGAGACTGAGATTAGCACAAGAAGGGATTAAAAACAGAGAGGAAGATTTGTAAGAAAGACCATTAGTGAACAATTTTAGAGTTACGTTGAAGGCAGGAATTGTTTTAATTTGGAGATGCCAACTTGACTCCACATGCCAAGTTTAACTGCAGTGAGGGACAGCATCAAAACGAAGATTTAGAGAAGTTTTAGAGTGTGCAGAGAAAGTTTTGCAGTTTTAAGCTCTCAAAGAAACGTCACTACCAGATCCTAATGGTATAGAAGCCAAAAATGCCTACTGTGCGAAAGTCCTGCTCAAATTTGTACGCTCCACCTCCCGTGGCACATAAGGTAGTATGGAGGCTCGAGAAGTGCTTTTCGCTTCCCATTTGGATAAAAGCAGGCATGTCATGAGTAGGAAAGCGTATAAAGTGCAGATTGCCTTTACGTCCACACAGGGTAAGGTCCTTGAGCTCAAGGTGCACATCCCGAATGCCTGTGGAGCCATAGGCTACGTTTGATGTCAGGTATTTGCGGATGCTTTTGAGGTTTTCCACTTCTTCCTCTTCCTCTTCGGCCGTGATGTCTTTGGGTTCAAAATAAACCAGTTTGACCAAGGTCCCTCCGATGTCCAAGCCAAACCAGGGAAAGACTGGAGAGAGAAGACAAAGAGAAAATGAGACAGAGTATGGCACAGCCATAGCACAAGCACCTTTCTTGTGGAAGGTGCCCCCACCCATGGGAGGAGGCCGGAACTTGATGGTCTTTAAGGTCCCTTCCCACCCACACCATCCTGCAATTCTGTGAAACCAGTTTTCATTAAATTAATTAATGCAGTTCTTTAGGGACCCATGTGGTCTCTCCATTTTCAGGAATGTTATCTTCAACAAGACACTCCTCCAACACAAGCACAGCTCCTTCAGTTCTCCACAGTTCAGAGATCCCTCATGCTCAGGAGCTCCGAATATTTGCTGTACAACACTCCAACACCGACATCCCTCCCCACAGGTCTGACAGTTCCATAGCCCTGCCAGATCCTGTTGCAGGTTTAATCCCCAGCTATTCCTTTTCCCAAGTTCTGAACCAGAGCCAGAGCCACGGATAACACCAGTGCTTTTACATCAAAGGGATGTGCAAACGTTCCCTAATTACAACACAGAGCTGAGGTAGACGAGTAATCTAAGATGCCGCAGGGAGACAAAAACAAATGTCTAATTGGATTATTTTATTAGTCAAATTCCCCCATGGTACAAAATATGCATCAGTGTCAGGCCCAGCAACATTTACAGCTGTGTTAGATAATGAGCTTCTTGGAAAAGATCAAGAGAAACCCCTGATCTGATGGAATCTGCGATTAGAGCTGGGAACTGGAACAGATTAATATCACTATTAATAAGCTAAAGGAGAGGCTGGAGCTAACGAAATGCACAGGCTCCAGAGCACACGGCTTTTAAATCCCTCCAGGGATGGGGATTCCAGCCCTGCCCTGGGAATCTGGGCAGCTGTGCCAGTTCTTCCCTCTTTCGGGGAAGAAACCTTCCCTAATATCCAATCTAAACCTCCCCTGGCCCAGCCTGAGCTGTTTCCTCTCCTTCTGTCCCTGTTCCCTGCGAGCAGAGCCCGACCCCCCCGGCTGTCCCCTCCTGGCAGGGAGTTGTGCAGAGTCAGAAGGGCCCCCTGAGCCTCCTTTTCTCCAGGCTGAGCCCCTTTCCAGCTCCCTCAGCAGCTCCTGGGGCTCCAGACCCTTCCCCAGCTCCGTTCCCTTCCCTGGACACACTCCAGCATAGATGTTACCAAGGTTCCTCTGGAAAACAGGATCTTGGGTTTTAGTAAAAATCCTTATCTGAGAACAGATAAGGGTGGAACATGGAGAAGCCCTCATTCCCCTCCCTTTGGAGCAAAAATCCCTTATGCCAGGCTCTTCAGGGAACAATCTTTGCACAGGCAGCAGCCTGACAAGTTGGAGGACACATTCTCTCCTAGGCAGATTTATCTGGTGACTGTACAGGCCCTTCCAGAGCTTTCCAGCTCCCAGGAGCTGCTGGCACTGGCAGCTCCCCACTGTATTTTTAATCCAGCAAGTTATTTTTATGTATTTCCATAGAGGCCACCCCCAACCATCACCAAAGGAAATCTTGAAAGAAGATGCAAGCTCTATTTTCAGAGACACATCCAAATCCCAATCACTCTCCATTTCGGAGACATTTACTTCAAAGACGAACAGACACAAAAATAACTTTTCATGAATGAAAGGGAAAGGAATCTGAAGGGCAGCCCAACAGAGGGATGGAGAAGGAACAATCCAAGGACTTTTACACAGGCAGATGGTGTAAAGACAAAGGGGAAAGGTTTTAAACTAGGAGACATTTACATATTGGGAAGAAATTCTTCCCTGTGAAGGTGGGGATGCCCTAGCACAGGGTGCCCAGAGAAGCTGTGGCTGCCCCTGGATCCCTGTAAGTGTCCAAGGCCAGGCTGAATTGGGCTTGGAGCACCCTGGGATGGTGGGAGGTATCCCTGTGTCCAAGGCAGGGGGACTGGAAGCAGATGGTCTTTAAGGTCCCCTCCCACCCAAAGCATTCCATGATTCTATGATTTCTGGAACGCATTTGTTCCTGTCAGAACACACCATTTGATTTCTGCATTCTGAAGTCCAATGGACTTTTTTTTTTAAGCACTCCCACCATTGCATTCAGACAACAATCTTCCCCCAAACTCCCTCTGCCTGGCTACACAGGAGTAAAAATGGGGAGAGAGCAGAGGCTGGGGACTCGGGAGATGGGCTCACTGATGTGCAGCAGGAAAGGCAAACATCCAAAACCACAGTGCTCTGAAGCCACATGCCTGGAAATGCCACAGGGTCTGCTTCATCACAGGCTAACAGGCTCCCACTTCCCAGCACTCAGCTGGTAGCACATGAACAGCTTCAGTAAAACAACATATTTGTTTTAAAGTTGGTAGTGAAGCTCACAAACTCCTACACTCAGCGACACAAACCTTCCAGATTTCAGGGCAAACACAACTGGGTCCATCAGTTTAGGCAGCTTTCCTGGTCACAAAAAAAAAAAAAAAAAAAAAAAAAAAAAAAAAAAAAAAAAAAAAAAAGAAAGAGCAGCTCCTTGGAAATTTCATCCCAAACCCAGTACCATCAAGACCTTTGACTTTTGGACAGAACATTAAGCATGGAGTTAAACCGCACCAGTTATCCACTATCAGGAACAGGGAAACGGGAATGATGCCAGCAGGGCTGGGACCAACTGCTGCCAGGCTGGGCTCAGGGGTCACTATCTCCACTCAACACTGGCCCTAAAAAGAAAATCCAAGCCCCTGAGGTGGGACACAACTTCTGACCAGAGCTGGCTCACAGCTCCCTGCGGCGCCGGCTGGAAAAGCTCTGCACGGAGCAGCTGGTGCTCTCCATCTGCCAGCAGCTCGGCTCTACCTTCCCTAAGCCACCAGGGATAAATTCAAAAAGACAGCCTATTAAGGTAATTAACTTACCCCAAATGATTGTTAATTATGGATCCCTCATTATATACATACCAGCCACAGGTTAAGAATCCAAGGAACAAGAGTGTGAGCTCAAAATTAAGTACTTCTTTCTCAAGCTGCAAAGGATTCCCTACACAGTAACACCGGTTGGAGAACTCAATCCATTACACAGACAAAACTTCCCTACAAACCCTTTTTTGTAGGAAAGGGGAATGGCACACAAACAAGAGGATGAAATTATTCCAAGGACATGAAGAACTGGGGATTTTTTCCTGACACTTACAGCGAGTCATCCAACAGGAACATGCTGGGCAGTGACAGCTCTTCCATGTCTGAGAACTAGAAAAATCCAAGGCAGGGAGGAGGAAGCTCTCCTGGATCAATGCCATCACCATCTGCCATCAAGATTTCTCCTGAAACATTTTTTTTTTTTTTCCCAGCAGATGAAACCCATCCAGAGATTTCTCCCTTTTAAGCCTCTGAAGCAATTTTTCCAAGAGAGCTGCTGCAGATCTCGAGGAACAGCAGGAGAACTGCTGGCATCCAGGAACCCTCTGGGCATCCCTGAGGCTGATTTTACTCAGTCAGAAAGTTCTGCTGGAATAACCAGACACCAGTATCAAGGGCCAGGGCAGGAAATGCAAATGCTGCCTCTCATCACCTCCTCCCTGCTGCTGCTTGAAGCTCTCTGTGAGGGAAGAGCAGGGCACGTCTCCTTTCCAAGCGCTCACCAGCCGCAGAACAACGGGAAGGATGGCAAATCCGAGGCTGGCACAGGAAGCACATCACTGTACGGACCTCTGGGCTCTCCTCCTGCCCAGCACCTTCTGGGAAGTGTTTAGTTGTTCCTTGGATGTTTGGGCATTTCTAAGAAAGGCAGGAAATCCTCTGCTCTCAGCTCCAAACCTCCCGCAATCAAAACTCTGTTGGTTTTTTTAGAGGATGAGAGCCATGAATCCCATTCTCATGGGCAGAGAAGCTGTGACTGCTTTATCCCTGGAAGTGTCCAAGGTCAGGTTGGAGCAACTTGTACTAATGGAAGGTGTCCCTGCCCACAGCAGGGGATGGAATGAGATGGTCTTGAAGGTCCCTCCCAACCCAAACCACTGGCCTGGCGAACTTCTGCTTTCCTTGAGCAATTTCAAAAGCAGCTCTCTCTATATATATTTTCATATAAACAGCTCTTTGTCTTAAAAACAAACCTTGTACTCAGGGGCAGATCTATGGATATGCAGCAACAACAAAAGACTGGTCTGCCAACAAAGTTAAAGGCTCACAGCTCTGACTAAATAATCCCACAAAAGCTCCAGAACACTTTGTGTGCCCACAGCAAGAGCTGCCACCCTCCCTTCAAATTCCTTTTGCAGTCAGACTGTAAGATCTTCAGGGCAATAAAAAGAAATTGCCTTTATCTGATATGTAAATTACTTCATAAAATTGGACACTGTGTAAATAAAAAAGACCTCTAACAGACTTATTCTGGAAGCTGCAGAACTGTCAAGATGAAAGAGATGATATAATTAAAGATCTCCATGGTGGATTTTCATCACTAAACAAGCAGCTCGAGTTGTATTTCAGAGTGATCCTTAACTTCTGAGCCAATTATATCAGGAGCTAAAAAGATTAGTCTGATGATTTAGTTCAGTGTGTGACAGCACCTCTAGGCTTACTCTGAAATATTCAATATTATATTTTAATAGTGTTACACCATGCTGGAAATTTTACAGCTGAGAAAAAAATACAATTCATTAGCATTTAATATAAAGTGACACTAAGTCTACATCTCCTCCCATCCCTAAAAAGAGGCTCTGATAGGAATTCATATTTCATACACCATTCCAAAGCAGAAAAAGATACTTAAACATCAAAGCTTAAATTTTGTACTACCAAAGAGGTGACAAAACAGCATTTTATTTTTACCTTTTCTTGGATACTTTGTAAATTGAAAATTTAAAGTCATATATCCATTATGTCTTTGCATGATCCTGATAGAAGATACTAAAACTTTAAAAAAAAACAACAAATCAGTTGAAGAGAAAGAATATTTTCTCACAGAACAAGCAAGAGAAGGGCAAAGCACATTTTGCTCACCATGGAAATAACCTAAATTCATCTCTGTTGAATATCCCAAGATTTCAGGATGAGAATGGAAAGAGTGAAGGAAGGGGAAAAGGGGGAAAGCTGATGAACTGAAATGCTGATCTCTTTCTCTAATTAAAAAGATTCATTAAAAAAACATTCCCCTGCTCACTATGACCACCATCAGGTTTCTGCCTGGCACTTCACCCTGCCCACAGCCACAGTTCCCTTTTGAACCATAATGGGAATATCCTCATTGCTCACCTGGAGTCTTCCCAGTCCAATTTTGAAGTATGGATTTCAATAATGGCACTGATAATTCAGTACCAGAAGGGAATTTTTCTGTATTGTTCCTGGAACTGATAAAGTTTTTGTGTATGACATGTCTGCCTGCACTGAACCCTATCAGACTCTCCTTCCCAATGTAACACTCCAAAGCTTCAACAAATCTCCACTTCATGTTTTCAGGGACACTTCTCAGTCCCTTCTGAGAGCAACAGTGTCCTTGACTTCTCCCTCTTCTGCCAGGGGGCACGCAGAAAATCCCAGCGTCTGCAGGAAAGCCCCTCAAGTACACCAGGAAACATCTCACAGAATCATTCAGGCTGGAAAAGACCTCCAGGATCAATTCCAACTGTTAACACAGCACTGCCATCTTCACCCTTAATCCATGTCCCCAAGCATCACCTCCACATGACTTTCCAACAGGGAATTTAAATATCCAGGGAATTTAAAAACCCAAGGTGCATGAAGGCACACAGCTGACGTACTGGGTGCACTGTTTATTTCACACCTATCCCAAAACCAGTCTTCTTCCCTGCTCTCTGCAGTGACTGTACATTACGAGCTCAGAGGGCCAAGGATCACGAGTCTGCTGAAATCCTTTCATTCCTGGGGAAGCGGGGCTCATCTGCCAGGGCATCTGCCAGCACAGCCAGGCAAGACAAGCCTCAAGGTCACCCAGCTCGTTTGCCACATGCCAGCAGCAGACAAGTGGGAGCTAAAGTAGGACATTTTTGATCCCACGCCTATTAAGTGCTTTTCTTTCATTTCAGTTTGAGTCTTCCTTAAGGTGGGATGGAGCGGTTTAACTCCAAAACATGATGGATTGTGACATCAGGCATTGTCCCTGCTAAGGGATGCCCTTGCAGCATCACACTTCTGTTCCACTTAGCATAACAATAATTCAGGAAAGTCAGACTAAATTGTAATCGCTAATCCCACCACGCTGACCTTCCAGATTTGCTACAAACCCTTTCTTGGAAGCTTCCAGAACATCTGTTTTCCGTCAAGTATCCCATGCCACTCTCAGCACCCAACTTTAAACCACATTTTCCAGAGAAGACACAGAAACTGCCCTGAGCAAGACAGGGAAGAATCATCACCTAACACAGAGCTCCGAGTCCTCCCTCATTTTCATACCAGAGATCTCCTTCATGTCCCTGCAGCCTTTTAACAGGTCTCTAATCAACAGCCTCACAGATCTCCATTCCTATTTTTCACACTAAGGGCAGAAGAGAACCTGCACCAGCACCCAAAAACAAGAGCAGGAACACTCTTAAAATTTCCCATAAATATGGTAACAACAGTGTCTCAGCACTGCCAGTCACAGCCGAGATGCAGCAGAATTCTGATCCCTGTTTTCAGCCCAGAATCCTTGCTCGCATATTTTCAATAGCTGTGCAGATACCAAGGAATTACACCGAGGCTGTTTCATTTTCAGGGTATGGCAATTTCCTTCCAGGAGGAAGGACTTCAGCAGAAGTCAAGGAATGATCTCTCGGTTATGCCTCAAATATGGCTGAAGTCAGGGACAGCCACAGCACCTGCACGGCAGCTCCTGCTGCTCCCAAAATGAAGGCTGCCATCCATTTTGCTGTTTCCAGTAGGACATTTACAAACGTGGTTCTAGGGATTTTTTTTTTCTCTTAGAAAGCCTGGTTTGATCTGTGCCTAGCTCCTGCCAAACCTGTCAGGTTCTTCCCTCCCAATATTTAAACTAGTCCCTTTTCTCTCTATTTCTTTGCTTTCAGTTACCAGTTCAGTCCCACAACCTCAAACACTGGTCCTTCCATCTGTCCTGCTGTGCCCTTTTCCTCACCCTGTCACCAGGAGCCTTCCCCTCCTTCCCATCTAAGGTCCCCAATTTGGGAACCTCCGCATCTGCCACAGCCCCATCCCACGTCCTGCCCCACCAGGCAGGTGTTGCTTCACCCTAAACCTCCTAGAGCTCCTGGAACTCAGCTTGTCCCATCCCTCAGCCCAACCAGCTGAGCCCATGTCACGGTGGAGACATGTCCCCACCGTGTCCCCACCGTGCTGTCCCCAAACTAGCCGTGCTGTGCCCGTGCCATCACCCCACAGTGCTGTTCCCAAGTTGGCCATGCTGGACAGCCATCACCCCACCGTGTCCCCGCCGTGCTGTCCCCACACTTCCCATGCCGTGTCCATCTCACGGCCCCCCGCGCTGTCCCAGTGTCCCCGTCCCTCCCCGTGCTCCCCCATGTCGCCCCCCGGCCCCACCTCCCAGACCACGCCCCTGCAGCCCCACCCNGAATATTTGCTGTACAACACTCCAACACCGACATCCCTCCCCACAGGTCTGACAGTTCCATAGCCCTGCCAGATCCTGTTGCAGGTTTAATCCCCAGCTATTCCTTTTCCCAAGTTCTGAACCAGAGCCAGAGCCACGGATAACACCAGTGCTTTTACATCAAAGGGATGTGCAAACGTTCCCTAATTACAACACAGAGCTGAGGTAGACGAGTAATCTAAGATGCCGCAGGGAGACAAAAACAAATGTCTAATTGGATTATTTTATTAGTCAAATTCCCCCATGGTACAAAATATGCATCAGTGTCAGGCCCAGCAACATTTACAGCTGTGTTAGATAATGAGCTTCTTGGAAAAGATCAAGAGAAACCCCTGATCTGATGGAATCTGCGATTAGAGCTGGGAACTGGAACAGATTAATATCACTATTAATAAGCTAAAGGAGAGGCTGGAGCTAACGAAATGCACAGGCTCCAGAGCAAAGGGAAAAATGTAGCCACATGTTAGGGCTTAAGGGAGCAGGATTCAACCCTTATGGTAGCTTCCAGAAGGAAAAAAGGAACTTTTAGAAAATAAACCTGAATAATGGAATCATAAATGTAGGGAAAGACCTCCACAATCCCAACCTTTCACTCAGCACTGCCAAGGCCACCACTCACCCATGTCCCCAAGTGCCACATTCACACGGCTTTTAAATCCCTCCAGGGATGGGGATTCCAGCCCTGCCCTGGGAATCTGGGCAGCTGTGCCAGTTCTTCCCTCTTTCGGGGAAGAAACCTTCCCTAATATCCAATCTAAACCTCCCCTGGCCCAGCCTGAGCTGTTTCCTCTCCTTCTGTCCCTGTTCCCTGCGAGCAGAGCCCGACCCCCCCGGCTGTCCCCTCCTGGCAGGGAGTTGTGCAGAGTCAGAAGGGCCCCCTGAGCCTCCTTTTCTCCAGGCTGAGCCCCTTTCCCAGCTCCCTCAGCAGCTCCTGGGGCTCCAGACCCTTCCCCAGCTCCATTCCCTTCCCTGGACACACTCCAGCATAGATGTTACCAAGGTTCCTCTGGAAAACAGGATCTTGGGTTTTAGTAAAAATCCTTATCTGAGAACAGATAAGGGTGGAACATGGAGAAGCCCTCATTCCCCTCCCTTTGGAGCAAAAATCCCTTATGCCAGGCTCTTCAGGGAACAATCTTTGCACAGGCAGCAGCCTGACAAGTTGGAGGACACATTCTCTCCTAGGCAGATTTATCTGGTGACTGTACAGGCCCTTCCAGAGCTTTCCAGCTCCCAGGAGCTGCTGGCACTGGCAGCTCCCCACTGTATTTTTAATCCAGCAAGTTATTTTTATGTATTTCCATAGAGGCCACCCCCAACCATCACCAAAGGAAATCTTGAAAGAAGATGCAAGCTCTATTTTCAGAGACACATCCAAATCCCAATCACTCTCCATTTCGGAGACATTTACTTCAAAGACGAACAGACACAAAAATAACTTTTCATGAATGAAAGGGAAAGGAATCTGAAGGGCAGCCCAACAGAGGGATGGAGAAGGAACAATCCAAGGACTTTTACACAGGCAGATGGTGTAAAGACAAAGGGGAAAGGTTTTAAACTAGGAGACATTTACATATTGGGAAGAAATTCTTCCCTGTGAAGGTGGGGATGCCCTAGCACAGGGTGCCCAGAGAAGCTGTGGCTGCCCCTGGATCCCTGTAAGTGTCCAAGGCCAGGCTGAATTGGGCTTGGAGCACCCTGGGATGGTGGGAGGTATCCCTGTGTCCAAGGCAGGGGGACTGGAAGCAGATGGTCTTTAAGGTCCCCTCCCACCCAAAGCATTCCATGATTCTATGATTTCTGGAACGCATTTGTTCCTGTCAGAACACACCATTTGATTTCTGCATTCTGAAGTCCAATGGACTTTTTTTTTTAAGCACTCCCACCATTGCATTCAGACAACAATCTTCCCCCAAACTCCCTCTGCCTGGCTACACAGGAGTAAAAATGGGGAGAGAGCAGAGGCTGGGGACTCGGGAGATGGGCTCACTGATGTGCAGCAGGAAAGGCAAACATCCAAAACCACAGTGCTCTGAAGCCACATGCCTGGAAATGCCACAGGGTCTGCTTCATCACAGGCTAACAGGCTCCCACTTCCCAGCACTCAGCTGGTAGCACATGAACAGCTTCAGTAAAACAACATATTTGTTTTAAAGTTGGTAGTGAAGCTCACAAACTCCTACACTCAGCGACACAAACCTTCCAGATTTCAGGGCAAACACAACTGGGTCCATCAGTTTAGGCAGCTTTCCTGGTCACAAAAAAAAAAAAAAAAAAAAAAAAA